CCTCACACCATCGATAAAAATCAACTCAAGGTGGATTTAGCTCTAAGTGTGAAACACAAAGCAAGGTTGTACTGATCTCATAGAATGGGTTTTCTATTTTATGGGATATAAGATTGGAATAATGTTTTCCTTGGAAGTTCTTTATAACTCACCCATAAAACCATCTGAGTCTTTTTCTCACCTTTCATGTGGGAGACCTGGATTCGATTCCTGGCCAATATACCTCATGCACAGCCACCACCTGTCTGTCAGTGGAGGCTTGCATGTTGCTATGATGCTGAACAGGTTTCAGTGGAGCTTCCAGACTAAGACAGACTAGGAAGAAAGGCCTGGTGATCTACTTCAGAAAATCAGGCAATGAAAACCCTATGGATCACAACAGTCCAATCCGCAACGAATCACGGGCATGGCACAGGAGTAAGCAGTGTTTCGTTCTGTTGTGCATGGGGTCTCCATGAGTCAGGGACCAACGGGACAGCAGCTAATAACAACAAACACAACAAGGTTTTAAATTACTGACTCAGTATCTTTAAATGGCTATAGGAGTTTTCAGGTTTTCTTTTTCTTCTTGAATCAGCTTTACTAACACATTTTTCTGGGACTTTGAGCATTTTGTCTAAGTTTCCAAATATACTGGCATAAAATCATTCCTAGTATTTTCTTGTTATCTCTTTTAATCACTGCTTTATCTGTAGTCATGCCCTTTTCCATCCCTAATAGTCGTCATTTTGTCTGCTCCCTTTCTTCTTGATCATTCTGTCCAAGACTTTTCTATATCAAAGAACCAGCTTTTGATATTTTTGTTCTGAAACTGAAAGAGCCCTTTTAAACGAAGCTTCACAACCCTTTGGAATATTTTAACTCAGTTATCTATCAACCTAAAACCTCTGTGAGAAACTTTTTATGGCTGAGGAGGACTAGAATCTAAAGGGGAAAAATGGGCCATAATAGCACTAGGCGTGGGCCTAGCCTCAGCTCAGTACCAGCTCTGTCACTTTCTACTTTATTACTAGCTTTATTATTTTCCTCCAGTTATTTCATTATAAAGCAAAATAAAGTTGACTTATGTTTTTAATAATGATGCAGAGGTCTGATATGAACTTTAAAGAGTTCTAACAACTCAGATAAGAAGAACATCTTTGGATTTTATGTCATTTTCTCTCCTGCCAAGATCCTTCAGGCAAAGCAGCAGTCAGTGGGTGAGCAAGATGAGGGCTGCTCCCTGTTTTGTGTGTGTGTTTGCTCTGCTGGGGTGAGGAGTTTCTTTAAAGTAACCGTAACCATTGCCATCAATTCCGACTCATAGCCACCCTGTGGGACAGAGTAGAACTGCCCCATAGGGTTTCCAAGCAATGGTTCGTGGATTCAAACTGCTGACCTTTCAGTTCACTGCCGAGCTCTTAACCCCTGCACCACCAGGGCTCCATACTTTAGCACATCCAAATTCCTCCCAAGGGTGTCAGCCTTAGTGATACTGACAATTTAGGTAACTTTTTCAAAGAGTAACAGAGAATCTTCTAGGAGTATAAAACCAATTGCCATGGAGTTTATTCCAACTCATGGCAACCCATGTGTGTCAGAGTAGAACTGTGCTCCATCGGGTTTGCAAAGGCTGATCCTTCGGAAGTAGATCGCCAGGCCTTTCCTCCCAGGCACCTATGGGTGAACTTGAACTATCAACTTTAGGTTAGCAGTCAAGCATGTTAACCACTTGCACTACCCAAAAACTCCTTCTAGAAGCATAGTAAGTAGCAAAATAACTAGAAGCATAGTAAGTGGCAAAATAAAACAGAATCCCCCCCTCCTCATGCATACCCCACCTACCTGTGCTGACTAATCCCTCTCTTTCAGTCCCTCTCTGTTCAATGGGCTGCCTTGAGAATATGGAGTGAAGAAGAGGGAAGGGCAGGGAGTTATTCTAATATTCCATTATAAAAGTATTAGGAAGGCTTTGCTCTTTGCGAAAGGTCTAGAGAGAGGCTCTGCTGGCTGTGTTGGCACGGGGGAGGGAGACCAATAAAATCTCTTGAGATCCTGTGTGCTGGAGTGTTTCTGCTTTCTTTAAAAATCACCACAGGGCAACCAAAGCTGGCTAGTACTAAACAATATAGGAAGGGAGGGTGTAGGCTCCTGATAGGTGCAGCAATTTTCACCTGCTTCAAGGCTGCAGCAAAAATCAGCAATAATGGGCATAAGATGCCAGGATGTTTCCTGTCCACTGGGGCCTGGGTGAGGCGTAAATGCTCCTATCAGTATCTTTACTTGAAGATGGCCTGAGATGCCAGCTGCAGATGAAAACGAAGTCCCCCATCCCCCCTTTGTCAGGAAGTCATCTATCAACTTGGGGGATAAAAGTTTTGGCACCAGCAAATGCAGGCACTGAGACTGTGTAGACCGTCACCCACGCAGTGCCCAGCCTGACTTGGGAGCATCTGGAATAACAGCGGTGTGTTTTCCACAATTCCCCCTGTTGGTCCCTGTCCTGGCACAAGCTGGGCTCTGGCACTGGCAGTATGAGGGGTCTGCATGGTGGAAGTTTCCATTTCAAAACAGTGGTTCCCTCCTCCTCACCTCGACCATCCCTGGCTGGCGAGGGGCAGACAAAACCCACAGGGCTGTCTTGCCAGGTGCATCCCTTAGGGAAAATGTTGTCTGGGTTTCTCGAGTGGAACACTTCTTTTTGAACTGAAGCACAATCCTCTACCTGCTTCAAGAACCCTCTGACCACGGCAACTCTGGGCAAGACAGCTGTGCCCGTGGAAAGAGAAAAGAAAAATACCTGCCAAACTTCTAATCGGCCTCTCCCTCTGCTCTCACCTACAATTCTTCATTGTGTTGACCTCAAGCATAAGTCTGACCACACTTCCTTCCTGTTAAGGTGCTGCTAAAGGCTCTACCACCTACATAACTGAGTTCAAACACCTCAGTGAGTGCAGAGCCATTTCTGAGCAAAGCATCTAGGAACCAGCCCTGCTTCCTTCTCCACCACTGGGTCTGTGTCTCCTTCTGGCTGAGGCCACAGCATATTAATTCGCTTCCTGCAATCCACCAGGTCCATTCCTGGTCACCATCTCTGTTCAGGCTCTTCCCCATCAGGTGGACCTCCTTCCAAGGCCCCACCTCCCAGTCCCACTGGCCTCCACCCTGCATCCCCACTGCCTCCTGCAGATGCTGATAGGGCAAACCAGCCCCATCCTAGTGGTTACTGCCCTGCTGGCCTCCCCTGCATCCACCTGGCATCTCCTCTGCAGAATCCAGCTGTGCCCACCTGGCACCGCCTCCTCAGAAGGGAGGCGAGTCCACCCGGCACCGCGTCCTCAGAACTGGGGCACATGCACTGAGCACTACCTCGTCAGAATCGAATGCATCCACCCAACACCACCTCCCTCAGAACTGGGGTGCACGCATCGGGCACCACCTCATGAGAACCAGAGCACATCCACCTGACACCGCCTCATCAGAACCAGGGCTTATCCACCCAACACTACCTCCTCAGAACCAGGGCGCGTCCACCCCTCACCACCGCGTCAGCACCAGGGTGCGTCCACCCGGTACCGCCTCGTCAGAACCGGGGCACGTCCACCCGGCACAGCCTCCTCAGAACCGGGCATGTCCATCCGGCACCGCCTCGTCAGAACCAGGACACACCCACTGGGCACTGCCTCAACAGAACTGGGGCACATCTACCCAGCACCACCTTCTCAGAACCAAGGCACATCCACCCCTCACCGCCTTGTCAGCACTGGGGCGCGTCCACCCAGTACTGCCTCGTCAGAACTGGGGCGCGTCCACCCGGTATCGCCTCATCAGAACCGGGGCACGTCCACCCAGCACCACCTCCTCAGAACCAGGGCACATCCACCCAGCACCGCCTCCTCAGAAATGGAGATCATCTGCCAAGAAACCCCTCCTCAGAACCAGCGAGTCCACCCAGCACCGCCTCTTCGGAACCAGAGTACATCCACCCACATCAACCTCGCACCCCCTTCTCAGAACTGGAGAGCATTCATCTGGCACCCCTTCCTCAGAACTAGGGCGCATCCACCCACGTCAACCTGGCACCCCCTCCTCAGAACCTTGGGAGGAAGCACGTTTATATTGCTAGCAAAGGGCAAAGGACAGCAGGTGTTGAAGCCCACTCCTTCCAAACCCAGCCTCCCCACCTTGCTTGTGCTCTCTGCAGTTGGGAGGTTGGCAGCACTCATTCAGAAGGCCATGGTGAGGAGGCTCATGCAAGGTGCTAGGGACAGTGTGGCCCAAGGCCAGTGCTGCCACCATTACCACCACCGCTGCTGCCAAGGCACCCTGCCCAGTCACATGGGAAGCGCTGTGGATGCGACTGTACAATGGAGTTCGCCAAGTGTCAAACCACTGCCGGGGCTGCTGGAGGAATAAGACCTTCACCTGTAAGGGTCCCTCAAGCCAGCAGTCAGGACCCTGCCTCCGTCAGGAAATGGCTTTGTCCTCCTGACACCACGAGAAGACCACTCGCCAACATACCCACCTCAGAGCACAGGAAACAATCGCCAGCATTCAGCCACTGAGGGGCAGTTGGTCCCTCACAGGGGCAGCAAACCTCACCACAGTGTGACTCTCACACTCCTCTATGGGCTCATTTGATTCAGATAAAACCTCATGGGTCTTATCACAGCTCCCCACATGCCTCCACGTGACACAAGGGTTGGAGCCCCATTTGATCAATGATTAAACTGAGGCTCAGTGAGGACAAATGACTTGCCCATGGGAGGCCAGAGGTTGGCAGTCTTTCTATTGTGGGTGTACTACCCCCCAGTTGCCCCAGTTCTGCAGCTCACTGAGGACACTGGCAGCACACAGCCTGCCAAGAGGAGGGGCTGGCCAGGGAAAGGCAAAGTGGGCCAGCTGGGCCCTGAAGCCACTAAGCACACCCAGGTGGACAGGGACCTCCACTCAGTGCCTCTACGTACCCACAAGACATCCTGTCACTGAGCAGTGGGCTGGTCACAGCCCAGAGCACTGACCTGCTTCTCGTTCTCGTCCTCCAGCTTCAGCCTGTCCTCGATGCAGTTGCGGGCCTGCAGGAAGGCCTTCCTCTGGGAGCGCTCCGTCAGCATCCGCACAAAGGCCCCATACATGTTCACACTGATAAACAGCAGGGCATTGGCTCCAAGCTGGAGAGAGAGAAGGTGCGAACACAGCATGAATGTAGATGGCAGGCCCGAAGAACTGCACAAGGCTGTCTGGGAGTCCCGGCTCAGGATGCACAGTATACACTCCTAGCTCCACACAACCCACCAGTGGAATAAACCATAGCCATCTGTTGCCTCGAGACACACTGGCTGGATCTGAGCACAAAACCCGCATCCCGCTGCCCATGGTCCCGACACTGGCCCCACGGAGGCTTCTCTCCTCATTGCCAGGCCAGCTGTACAAACAAGAACATGTAACAGAACTAGATACATATAACCCTAGAACATACTACAAATGTGAAAAGAGAGTTGTTTTCACCGACACTAAGTGGAATGCTTTGGAAAGATTCAATGGAGGTGAGTTACAAAAAAAAAAGGATGGAGATTTGAGTATGGAAAGAACACCTATAAAGAAACTTAAAGTGTAGAAGGTCTCTGCTTTGTCTTTAAGTTTTCCTTCCCCTCTCAAGAAAAAGAAACTAGAAATGGGTTTGGCTAAGGAGGCTCTCCCCAGCGGACTTGGACTCCAAGGGTTGGGCCTGCTGCAGAGACTTAACTGGGACAGGACACAGCATGGTTCAAGTTACAATAAGAGACTTAAGGCACAGTGTGAATGTAGAGTTCCCCATGTGGCCTCCTCCTCTGGTCTCCCAGGCCCTTGTGGATCCCATGGCCGGAGCTGAGAAGAAGACGCCTCCCATAGTCAGCAGAACTGCCACGCACCTCCAGACGCACCAGCACAGCCATGATGGGCATGAGGATGCCCGCCTCCTTGAGGAGCTGTGGTTTTACAAGCACTTTATAAGGCAGTTGTCCCCCAGTCAGCTGCAAGACTGGAGAGGTTAGAGGAGGCAAGGCCAAGGTGGCAAAGTAGTCAGATGCATCCGGTGGACCCTCTTACAACAAAGACCCAAAAAAACAAGTGAATCAATTATATATGCCAATCTAGGAGCCCTAAACATCAAAGGCAGAGCTGAGGAATCGGACTGAGTGGTAGGGGGGCGGAGAGACAGTTCGGAAGCAGTGAGGAGTTGCCAGACCTGACCTGGTGAGAGCCTGAACCCTTCAGCTCGGGTGTGAGCGGTGAAGCAGGCAAGCGGCAATACTCAGGAGGCGCATCTTCCACACCAGGGAAGACCCAGCGCCAGAGAATCTACACGGCCACCCAGAATCAGTGAGAAGCAGCCCTGGATCGGTGAAAGATTAAGTACTTGCGTACGGCCTACCGTGCAGATCAAAAACACCTCCCTTACAGAAAAAACTCTCTCCCATTTACCTCCCTGCTCCCTGCTCTGCACTGGTTCCCAGACTGGCTTCAGCAATTGCCATATCCCATGGGCCGGAAGTAGGATCTGTCACACACCCAGAGCCATTTTCCCTGCCTTGGAGAGTGAACAAATTAACAAACAGGGGAAAAATAAAGTGCCAGCTCCCCTAAGCCAGGAACCCAGGGTAGGCACAGCTCCTTTGCCTAGGCACATGCATAAGGGATCCACAGACTTTGAGTGCCTTTCCACCTGCGTAGACTTGTGTGGGCCCATCTCAACAGCATAGGCCCACGTTACCGCAGTACAACAGAATATATACCAGAAGTCTAACTTCAACTGCTTCAGCTGTGAAGTGGTAGGTTCTTGATATTTGACACTATTCTGCCCATTAAGCAGGGTCTTCACCTACCCACATCAGGGGCCTGAGGACTGGAGGCTCTACCCACGCCACCCAGCCACCTGCGATAGGGGCCCACGAATAAGAGGTGCCCACCAGTCCTTACAGCCAACAGCATTAGGTGCTCATAATCCAGCTGCAAAACCCACCACCTACACGCTCTAGGGAACAGGGACATGCCTTCCTCCTGGACACTCGGGGGTAGCTGTTAGCCCCCTGCCTTGCTCAGAGTGTGCCCCTCTGCTGCAGCCAGATGCCTATGCCTACATCAATCACCCATGCCTGTCTAGGACTGGAAGTGAGAGCCTACACCACACACTTGGTAGCTATCTACCTGGGTGTCTGAGCTGAATCCATACAGGAGGAGTGGGCGGACTCCTGAGCTCACATACCTAGTAACAAATCTAACCACCTGGTGACAGGACATTAGAGCTTCAAAGTTACCAATAATCAAACTAGCTCATATGAACAGCCTATTTGAGCATATCAAAACAAAACAAGAAGCTAGGACACAGTAAGCAAACATAAAATAAATTAATATAATAACTTATTGATGGCTCGGAGACAACAGTCAATATCAAATCACATAAATAGGCAATCCATGATGACTTAAGCAAGCTCCCAAAATAAAGAATCTAGAAATTTTCTGGAGAAAGAAAATTTCTTGGAATTACCAGAGGCAGAATTCACAATATTAATATAGAGAACTCTTCAAGAAATTAGAAAGGAAATTAAGCAAAACACAGAACACACAATAGAGAGGAAACTGAAAAGATTAGAGAAGAGCATAATAGCAAATTTAACAGGCTGCAAGAATCCATAGAGAGACAGCAATCAGAAATCCAGAAGATTAACAATAAAATTTCAGAATTAGACAACTCAATAGAGTCATCGGAGCAGGACTGAGGCAATGGAAGTCAGAATCAGTTAGATTGAAGATAAAGCACTTGACACCAACTTATTTGAGGAAAAATCAGATAAAAGGATTTTAAAAAATGAAGAAACCCTAAGAATTGTGTGGGACTCTAGGAAGACGAATAACCTACAACTGATTGGAGTACCAGAACAGGGGTGGATAACAGAAAATACAGAGAGAATTGTTGAAGATTTGTTAGCAGAAAACTTCCCTGATATCGTGAAAGATGACAAGATATCTATCCAAGATGCTCATCGAACCCCACATAAGGTAGATCTCAAAAGAAAGTCACCAAGACATATTATAATCAAACTTGCCGAAACCAGAGATAAAGAGAGAATTTTAAGAGCAGCTAGGGATAAACGAAAAGTCATCTACAAAGGAGAGTCAATAAGAATAAGCTCAGACTACTCAGCAGAAACCATGCACGCCAGAAGGCAATGGGATGACATATATAAAGCCTTGAAGGAAAAAAACTGCCAGCCAAGAACTATGTATCCAGCAAAACTGTCTCTCAAATATGATGGTGAAATTAGGGCATTTCCAGATAAACAGAAGTTTAGGGAATTTGCAAAAACCAAACCAAAATTAAAGAAATACTAAAGGGAGTCTTCCAGTTAGAAAATCAGTAAAATCAGATAACCCAAGACTAGAACACAGGACACAGCAACCAGATATCAATCCAGATAAGGAAGTCAAAAAGTAAATCAAAGCTAAAACACTGAAAATAGGGAAACAGATGTCAGTATGTAAAAGATGACAACACTAAAACAAAAAACAGGGACTTAAAAAATCTAGACATAGATTTTTCAGACAGAGAGGAAGTCAAGGTGATATGAAGAAATAAAAGACTGGTATGAACTTACAAAAATACGGGTAAATATTAAGGTAACCACAAAGGAAACTAACAATTATACAAGTCAAAATAAAAAACCAAAAAAGAATAAAGACTCAGCAAACACAAAATCAACAACAATGAAAAACATGAAAAGAAAATACATAAAGAAAAACGACTCGGCACAGAAAATTAAGTGGAACAAAGAAATTGTGACCAACACACGAAAAAAGACATCAAAATGACAGCACTAAATTCATAACTATGAATAATTAAGCTGAATGTAAATGGATTAAATGCACCAATAAAGAGACACAGAGTGGCAGATAGGATAAAAAAACACGATCTGTTTATATGCTGCCTACAAGAGACACACCTTAGACTTAAAGACACAAACTAAAACTCAAAGGATGGAAAAAAATATATCAAGCAAACAACACTCGTAAAAGAGCGGGAGCGGCAATATTAATCTCTGACAAAATAGACTTAAAAATAAAATGCACCACAAAGGATAAGGAAGGACACTATATAATGATTAAAGGGTCAATACACCAGGAGGACGTAACTATAATAAATATTTACACACCCAACAACAGGGCTCCAAAATACATAAAACAAACTCTAACAGAACTGAAAAGAGACATAGACAGCTCTACAATAGAGGTAGGAAACTTCTACACACCACTTTTGGTAAAGGACAGAACATCCAGAAAGAAGCTCAACAAAGACACAGAAGAGCTGAATGCTACAATCACCCAACTTGATCTCATAGACATACACCAAACACTCCACTCAACAGCAGCCAAGTATACTATCTTTTCCAATGCACATGGAACACTCTCCAGAATAGACTACACATTAGGCCATAAAGCAAGCCTTAAAAAAATCCAAAGCCTCGAAATACTACAAAGTGTCTTTTCTGACCATAAAGCCATAAAAGTAGAAATCAA